AAGCCATCTATGTTTGTGTTTGTCACATGCGTGCTGGGTTGTCCCCTCTCCTGTTTGTACTACGTTGTTGTGCTGGTGATTTTAATAGTCCACTCACTTGAGCCGTACACTTGTATAAGTCCAACGTCGCATATACATTTTTCTCTCCAACCGCGATTCCTTTTCAATGCATTTTGGATTTAGCATTTTTATTTGCACATGTTTTTGCACACCGATAAATGCCTTTGGGGTGGCTAATGTGCGTCACGCCGTCTTCTCTCTGCATTTCCACAATAGTGCTCCCCGTCTGTGCGGTGACGCAGGAACCCCGCGCGATTAGCGTCAATCTCACATGAAAAGGAGGCATTTCGGTAACTTTCCAAAGAATGATCCAATTCACAAAATGGGAATAGATTTTTTTTGCAAACCTCTTCATAAGTCAAGATGTGTACCTTAAACAGCTGTCATAATTGAAGCAACCCATCCACTCCTTTGTTGCTAATTTTAATCCCAAAACGTAACCCTCCGCCGTTGAAGATGCCTTGTTGCATAAGTCTCGCATTGCTTCGCTTGAGCCAAACATTTAACACAAGCATTTGAAACGCTTCTCTGAAACAACGCAGATGCTCAGACCAATGAGCAGCCGTACTCTTGGGTATTTTTCCGGTCATCAATAAGCCCAGCTGACATGTCGAGACAAAAAACAAAGTGGGTGAGGCATAGACTCCCCGTTCTAATATTTATTGCAGTGTTGAAAGTAACACGAGTGGCATGAGTTACACTCTGTGTAACAACTTACACGAGAATATACGCTTTGCTGACAGAGTGTGTATATATCTATACATGGTGGGGTGGATGGTTGGTGTGGGATGCAGGCAATGGTTAGTGCACTGTATGACGGTCAAAGCTAAAATCAGTGGCGAGTGATATCTAATCCTATCCTTGGGTTCCCTTCTTCCCCAGTCTGCAATGACCAGCAAGTATGGTCAAACAACTACCACGTAAGGTATGGGGAAGTCTTCATTTTGGAGTATAGGTACAGCATATAACGTATCATACGTGAGTGATGTCCATTTTATATATGTATGTATGTTAAACTTCTTTCGCACCATATGTAACCAACCGTGCTAATTGGAGGTGCGTGGGAAGGACAACAAACTAAACACAAAAAGCAGTTCTCAAGTTACGAGTTTTCAATCTAGATTTAAAAGTGCATAGCTCCAGTGGCTTCCTAATATCGGAAGGAAGAACATTCCAGATGGCCGCTGAAGTGCAGAATCACTATTAGAAGCCCACTTCCTTTGGATGTGACCATCCATCCGTCCATCACTCCTTCCCTCCTACCTCTCCCTTCAGCCAGCTAGCCAGGGATCAACACTTGTTTTTCTAATATAGTATGATAGCACTGCCCGCATATTTGAGTCGGATCCATGGCTGGGTTGGAGGATGGGTAGGGGCAAAGGTCTGACGTGAGCACGGCGCACTAACCCAGCTCAACGATGTGGGATGCAGGCGACGCAGACGTGCGTGGTGATGCCACCACCACGCATGCAAACTTGCCTACATGCTAGGAATCCAGCCAGGCAGGCAGGCATCTAGCCAGGCAGATATTAATCCAGCCGGCAAAACTTTTTTCGATGTACGGTACAATAGTGCAGATTAAACCCTCATTGGACTGTATCATGAACTCAGTGAAAATAATTAAATTCATGTTCTCTGTCCGTACGTATAGAATTTTGTCGTGAATTGGGAATTATTAATACAACTCTTAATGGTTATGATGGTAATCAGTAAATAATATCTGAGAGTTTTCATTAAAATTCTTAAGCTTATGTCTGACATTCACACTTACGTGTGAAGTGTATGGATATATTACACTCAGAATTTATGCACAGTTCTTTTTATTTTCATGGGTGTTTTTCCAAGAAATTATATATAAGAAGACATGGCTATTTTTAGAAATTGGTTAAAATCCAACTGGGATGTCCCTGTTGGGCCAATGAGTGTGTTGCACACTGAGAAGCGGGTTACACTAGGCTACCTTGCTAGGGAAAGTATGCAAAACCAGTTTTGCTAAATTCGCAGCAGCATTTTTGCATTGACGCGCAAACGCTTAAAGGCTGAGATGGATAACCGAAGGTGCGTATGGGTTTTTTTCCTTCTGCTCCAGGAAGTCGTTTGGGTTTTTTTCTTGTCAAACACACAGGACACAGCTATAGCCATGCACAGTTGCTTTCCTTTGTTAAGTGCAAATGATGCTTCCCATCACTGTGCTTGCAACCAAAAGGCAAAGGCAGCAAGCGCCACGTGATAGGGATATTTTTTTTATTCTTTATATATTTTTACGACATCAGAGCCCAATACAGAACGCGCACATCAGGGAGGAACAAAACCAGGCCACTTACGAGCAACAAACTCGGGATAGGGCCGGCAAAATGTGACTGGGCTCGCTGCCCTACTCTCGTATGGGGCTGACGATTGGGAACATGGTGTTTCTAAGGGAGGGGTAGATGAGGAGAGGAAGGGTGAAGAATGTAGTGATAGTGATATTTTATCACTGCCTCTCTTCAGTGGGCGCCAGCGGTGGTCTTGTGGCTCCAAGTTGAGGAAAAGTAAAGTCCCGCCGTGGGTGTTCGAATCTCAGGTGATAACGTGTGCGGGTGGAGTCACTGAGAAGCTGGAATGCGTTGTCATTGGCTTCATCATCAACAATGCTCTCTCACATAGAGATCCACAGACTCGTACAGAGACCCATAGACTCACATAGAGACCCATTGAGAAACTGGAATGCTCTGGCAGTGGCTTTCGGGGCTTTATCATTACGGCTGTCTCCCACAGATTGGGCACACACAGTCCACGCAGCTTCCCAGGTGAACTGGTTTGGTGGGAGCCCAGCACTGATGCAGCAGCATCATCATCATGCTGCCTTAGTGTTCCTATTATTAATTAGACCACCTGCACACATTGTCACCTGAGACTGGAAATTCCAAAGCAGACTTGTTGCCCCCTCAACAAGGATCCACGACTATGACTAGGGAGTGCATCTCATGGATCATGTATTGTCGACCACTGCTCTAGTGCTTGCTCGGTCGGCAGCATTTTAACCTGGGTCGAACACACATTTTTTGGCATTGCATTTCCTTTGAAAAGAGACGTGAAGGGAATGTGTATTGTTGATATACGATAGCTCATTATGACAATCTGTAGCCAATGACATAGTTTCACTATACTTTTAGAGTCCAATTGTCTACCAGTGTAGCATTGGTGTGGGAGTGTGGTAATGCCGCCGTGACTTTTTGCATTATACAAAACCATCACCAGTTCCTGAAGAAGTGCATTGAGGTAATCTTGTCTTCGGTCACCATCAACCACAATGCAGGACCCACAATACACTGCTTCAGGAACAGCCGATGGTGTTTGCACAAGGCACAAGGCACAAAGGCTGAGTGCATTTTACACAGTTTTGCAATATTGTTTAAAATTTGTGGTTTTCCGGCATGCATTGTTTTTCATTAGAGTTAGAGTGCTTACGTGACTTGCAGAATTCCCAATCATGATGTACATTCGTCTTCATAATGAGATACACACACACTGGTTGAATAATACAAACATGACTTATGCACAATTAATGTGCATGCAGTGAAAATACAAATACTGGAGTTACGTTTAACAAAATGCACAGTATCACTCTGCATATAATTCACATTACTGTGCCTCACACCAAGCGTGAGTGCCAGGTGTTTGTGTCAAGGCCGATTTTAACTGTTTTTCACCAATATGGTCATTGTTAAGCAACTCTGGTGAGTGTTAACTCTATATAAACGGTCAGCTATTAAACAGTAATAGTTACTATAGCTCGGTATCCAACTCTGTAACCGTTGTAACTGTTGCTCTGTATCATGTAACACATGATCACATACTTGCACAAATACACGAAAGAGCCCTGTGGTCAGAGTTCAAATATCCCTTAAAAAGTCTTGGTTCACGGTTGCTTAGGTACACAAACACTCCGAGTGTCCACGCTCCCTCGCCTTATATTTGGCTTTTGTCTCTCAAAGGGAGGACATGGTGCAAGGGAATGGCAGAACCGTAATGGCTGCTGTCAATGGCGTGCCCAGCAAGCATGCGTGCCGTGCCAACCAGGACCCTCTGGTTAAAGCCGCGTGTGCTGCCTCCTTCTTTGGCACATTGAGGAATCAATCATTCATCTATTTAGGCATTCATTTATTATCACTATGCAAGGGGAAAAAATGTCTCTTGGAAATTTTGAACGTGGTCTTTGTTGTGAGGTTTAGTGGGGTGGAGGGGGTGGCGGTTTCCTAGCTCTTAAGTACCTTTTTGGTTTTATTTATCCAAATGATATTCCATATGTGCTCTTGGCATGATTCAATGGCGCATGCATTCTCATTTGAGAAGCTGGCAGTGAGCAGTGTCACCATGCTTTTACATGTCAGAGAACGGCCCTATAAGATGACATCATCTCCTTCTAAAGTCACTGCAAGAGGTCACTTTATCCCCTTCAGGAGCGCACACACACTTTGTATATTCCCCGAAGTAATTGCATGTCAAGTTAATTACATGTCAATCATATCAACATTTTCAATTCTTAGAGCTGGAATATGCTAAATAAAATGACAACCGATGTTTGACGTGATGGGTTAATTGACCGGGCTGATGCCATCGACTCACTCACCGTGGGCTGCTGAAATCCAGATTCAAACTCTGGATCTCAGTGGTGGCAGCTCAGTGCTGTCTGATACGATGCCAGCCGCCTTAAGCCACATGGACACCTTGATCCTAGTTAGCGAAAAAACTGTGCCAGTCACGTTTAACAAATAATTTAGCATTATTGTATTCATCTCTCAGTGGGAAGCTCTCAGCTAGTACAATATTTTCTCCGTTCTCATGCACAAAACTTTAGTTTTAATTGTCTCAATGAATGCTGATGTCTTTCGTTCACTCGTGTGTATTTAATTTAATTTAATTTGGACACAAATTGCTCTGTCATGTTTTTTTTACAGATAATGGGAGAAACTAACACTCACATCACGTGGCCCTCAAAGTTGAAAATCGGAGCCAAGTCAAAAAAAGGTACGAGTGTTTTTTTTCCTTCTGCTTCATCATAAAGTGTATCGAATCATTGTGCCCACTCCGATAGCTTTGCAAGACATTACATATAATTAATGATAATTGTTTTTATTTAATTTAATTCGTCCCACCATGACTGTTGTCCCATTGTCCGGTAATGTGCGTCTCTGGATACATTTCCATTAAAAGTGTGGTGGCAACAAGTATTGTCAATGCGAGGCCATTAGTGTAGATGATTTTGCATTATTTTTTGGGACCTTGTCGAAGTGTTTGATATCTGCTAGGGGCATGTGACAAATGCATACCTGACGACTTTTAAAGAGCTACACAGAGGCCCATTTTTAACTCAGTCCCCCTGACAGCAATTATCACTTTATTGAAGCACAGTGCTTTTGGGGCCCCACCTTCCCTGGTGGGACTCGGGGCCGTGAGAGGAAGCGGCCACCAGACACATAATTGCATGATCATTTGTGGCCTCACTTCCAGCCCACTCTGGCTGCCACTGACAAGGCCTCCATTGTATTACAATGGGTCAGCCAGCCACCGGTCGGAATGTGCCTCAGCTCACACACATATACGCACACATCCACACAAAGACACAACTCCCCCCTGCCACCCACCTCCCCGTTTCGCCTGCATAGACTGTTAGGGAAAGGGTTGTTAGCGAGCACCTATTAAGGCTGGCATGGCGCCTAAGGGGATCGTGATGTCAGCATGATGCCCAGTTACCATTGTCTGCCCACTGATCTTTACATACTGCACCGGGTACTCATTTAAGGATGAGTACCAGGATAGTTTCAAATAAGCAATCTCCAATGATGTAAGCCATTAGTAGCTGCGATCGTAGCGAAGTGCTTTAACAACTGTGCTCCCACTCTATGCTCACACATGCATGCACGTGCGCACAAACACGTCTAATTAAATTGTAAACATTGATTTCACACATGAAAACTTAATGAGGACAGGCTGTCAGAGTATGCATTGATTTCTCATCTATTTATTCAGGCTGTGTTTTCCACAGCGATTTTAATGATTCACGCATACATGCGGTGGGTGCTCGGAACCCGGTGAGCTGAGTTAAGTTCCCGGCCACGGCTAACATGAGCGGTCAATGATTATATTTATCTCAACTGGTGCTGTACCTCCCCTTTAACAAACTAATTCTGTCTATCGTGGTGAAATATTATTAACAATTCATTTGTCTGAAACGTCTCGGAAAGGCTTCATCCAACAACGAATTGATTTAAGAGCTCTAGATTGAAATGATTAAATGCTGACTTAAAACTGCACATAGAAAAACTACAGCCATAGTAGTAGGTTTTTACCCTTTTAAACTGGTACAAAACTGACACGTTTATTCAAGGCATCATGTTTGCAATAACCACAACACAAGTAGTCAAAAAAGCAAACAATTATTATCATTATCAGAGTTGCTTCTTTTTGTTTGCTTTTTTGACTACTTGTGTTGTGGTTATTGCAAACATGATGCCTTGAATAAAGGTGTCAGTTTTGTACCAGTTTAAAAGGGTAAAAACCTACTACTATATTTTGCCACTGGTAAAAGAGATCTCATAGTGTAAACTACAGCCATGTTCGCAAACGCAGACATGCTCCCACACCAAAGGTAACCTGCTGACGCACACGCACTCATGAATACTTACGCACACCTGGATGCGCGCCTGTGTAAATATAGTGTGCGGGCTTTACTGTGGCATGGCCGATGGAATTCCCCAGCTACGCAGGTAGATTACGCACTGACTCTCTCACACACATGCCTGCATTATGGGCCGACTGCATGGCTATGACAGGGTGTGGTGCGGACCACAATGTACAGAATCTGTGCCTTTGTCTGGTGATTGGCAGAAGCCACCAAACTTGACATTGTCGAAGCCGTGCCGACACCTCCGGTGTTCCACTCAGCTGGAAGAGCTGCGTTATTTAACCCTCGCTTAGAACACTCGCCTCCATTTATGCCTTACGATCGACAGGTGAGAATAAAACACTGAGTAACTAAACCTTGTCCGCGTGGGATTAGGAGGCGCTGCGAGGTCTCTGTAGCGCCGCGCGCACACACACACACACGTGTCTGCGAGATCCTTGCCAGGACTTGGAAGGAGTGCCGCCCTCATCGTGTAACCGAGACGCGTACTCCTCGATGGGGCTGAATGCCGATGCGAGCGATCCTTCGCTCGTCTTTCAATCGCGCGGGGAAGCAGCTGCTAACCCGAAAAATTTGGCACGCATTTGGATGAACCGATAATAACCCCCGATTATATATATATTTCACATGTTTCTGATTATTTTGCTGAGTGATGACCTTTATACAAAACAGGTGAGGGCTAATTGAAATACTTCACCACACTGCTCAGTGTGGGTTGGTGAAGAGTGGGTTGGGGGGGAGGGGTTGAGGAGGATAGGCCCATTTATATATGATTCTCCATTGATGTTTGCCATGGCTGGGAATCAAACTTAGATGGCCTGGTTCATAGAACACTGCACTAACCACTGCGCCACCACTCCATTACTTTTTAAGCCACCATAAAATATTTTTCGTACACGATTTTAATGTGAATTCAACAAATATGACAATATCTTAATTACTGCATTCACTCCACTAATTCGCATATTTACGGCCTATCAGCACGCATTTCCTTGCGTTAATACCCACAATTTTATTGTAAATCCCGTTTCGCTGAGCTCATTGTACAAGGAATAAAAAAACAATTATGTTCCGGTCTCATTCGGTAAATATATTGTGTAGGCAGTAGCCATGCTGAGCCTTGCCTGTGTCAGGTGGTGCTCATATTGAGCAGAGACCCCTGTGCATGACAACCATGAAAGGGGTGTAAGCCAGGGCTTATTTTCAGCAGGGTCCGTCAGGGATCAGTGACCCGGCACACCGCATCCAGTAGACCTCTCACTTAGCTATGGTTACTCGTCACGTGACACCTACTCCAGTCAACTAGCAACCTGGAAAATATTTCTACACCCAGTACACCACATCAAGTGTACCTCTCACTATAGATGTGGCTACGAGTCAAATGGCACCTACTCAATTCAAGCAGCGACCTAGAAATATGTCTTCACTCGGCACACCACATCTAGTATACTTATTGCTGTAACTTTGGATACTAATCACACGGCACCTACTCTGGTATACCAGCGAGGCATTGAATATTAATTGAAAACGTAAGCCCTGCGCACAGCCATGCCCGTCGCCCGGCCTCATCGAACGGCCGTATTTAACTCACGGGCTACTCACTCACGCTGTCACCTGTGGCGCTTCGATGAGAGAAAGGGGGGGGGGGGGCATTAGAGCGATCGTCCGACACACAGCGTGCTCCCAGAACTAATACACAGCCGTGTTTCGCAAAGCAAAGAATTCCTCCTGCCTCTCGGGCCGTAGGAGGGAATGCATTCCTTCGGTGATTTCTTCTGAGCCACTTATGTGGCCAGACAGGAGAGACAAATTATGACTATTGTCACACACAAAAAAAATGCACTCCCATTTAGGCTGTGCAGTCTGTACGTGTTTGTGCATTACTACTATAATGAGCCAAGAATGTATGTTTGTGTGTCCCGCGCGTGACGTCACTCCACATGCCGCACCCCCCCCCCCCCCCCATCATTAATATTCATGAGCGGGTAGATTTTTACACTCATGCAGAAGAAGGTCGAGCGGAAATATTTATTTTCGCAAATTCGCTTTAAGTTTGACGTTTCTTTATTGAAAGTGAATCTAATAATTAATTATATGCAGCAACAAAGTGGATTTGGTGTCTTCATTTCTTCAGCACTTCCGACAAAAGGTAAGTCTAATTGATGCTTTTATATTATGGTATAATAGACATTTCTCGGCGATTTTCCAGATATTGTATCGATTTCCAATTTATTTCAACCCCAGCGACCGAAAGCAGAAGAGAATAAAGTATCAGAGCAGTGAATTTGAACAAATTGAAGGTCAGTTATATACAGTGCTACAGTGACATGAAGTGAGGTGTTTTATGACGTAATTTTGTGCAAGATTCACTGCCATTAAATTTACACAAGATACAATTATACTCTGCAAAACATTTTCGTAAATATTACAGCTTCCGTCCTTTGACGGGCAAACAAGCTAGTAGATAATTATAAGAAAGAACACGAATAATTGAAAAAAGCAGTTTGCCGTGTTCAAAATCTATTTAACCAGTACAAATTAATGTATATGAACTGTCTTTGGAAACGTTACCTGTTCAATAGACAGGGTGTCCATGAAGGTAAAATATCTGAGATCATTATGATGAGACAGTACTCTTAGCCACATTGATACTTCACAGTCCACAGACACACAAACTTGAACTTATTATTATCAACGCACAAACACGTACAGACTAAATGGGAGCGCATTTTTCCCATAACAATATTCATCACCATGGCATTTGTAATGTCCATCGTCACTAGCTTTGTCCCCGGTGTGCACCAACATCTCGACAGGGATGATATTGAATGCTTCTGATGTTATGTTGCTCTTGTAGATTACTCAAGATTTTTTTTATTTAAGAATGGGTCATACCTTTATGAACGCCCTGCACTTTCAATACACACTATATTCTTCTTGGTTCTTTCGGTAAAGTCACGTAGAAGGGAAGTAATAAAATAATAAAAATAAAACATAATAAAATAATTCTCACGACGTTTCGGCTACAACGCAAGCAGCACCTGAAGACGGCTGCTTGCGTTGTAGCCGAAACGTCGTGAGAATTATTTTATTTTATTATGTTTTATTATTTTATTATTTTATTACTTCCCTTCTACGTGACTTTACCGAAAGAACCAAGAAGATGAATCCCTGCAGTCACGAAAGCTTTAAATCGAAATTTAACACACTATATTAATACACTGCAGAGCTTGGATAACTGCTCATCGCCTGGCTGCCATCCCACATGTGGTTCCTTGTGCCTCCGAGTCGCTCTCTCTCCGAGAGCGAGCGATCACAAGTAAAATCCATTATTATCATTACT